CGCCACATCGTGTCGTTGGCGCGGAGGGGGAGGACGGGGTCTTCGTCGGAGGCGGCCTCCGATTTGGTTCTTGTTGTGCCGCCGAAGTAGGGCTGGTTTAGGATTAGCCCGGTGATTTTTGATGGTGAATGTAGGCCTGCACAGAGAATTTGATGACAGCTAGGTGTATGATGTTAAAGGAAAGTTTAGCAAGGAAATATGGCATATAGGGTGTTTGGTTCAATTTCTAGAAATTATAGGAAATGTTTTCCACCTAAAATATGATTTCCTTGTATTTTTTTAAAAAATTATAGGAAAAGTTTTGAGAAATAAAAAAGTACTAATTTTCTTGTTTTTTGTACTTTGCTTGTTTGGTTCAAAACAAGAAAATAGCTCATAACTTTATAGAAAATAACAAGATTTGGTAGGTTTTTAATTAAATATGGTATGTGTCAGATTTCTGGTGATTTCCTCTCATTTTGAGAGGAAATTGCTTTTTGTAAAATTTGGTAGATTTTGATATTTTATAGAAAATATTTCTGTAAATTTTTTGTTTAACCAAACACAATTTACAGAAATCTCTAGAAAACTTTTAATTACAAATTTGTCATTATCAGATGTTTTGAGAAAAGTTTTCTCAAAAAATGTGCAACCAAACAGCCCCTTAGCCGATCATAATCATTCAGGACAGTTAAGAGTTTAAGGCTCTGTTTGGCAAAACTAGCTGAAAGCAACGAGATTATAACTGAAAACTGTTAAACTAGCTGAAAGCTATAAAATTGTAACCGAAAGCTAATAGCTGTGTAGCTAGCTGATTGACTAGAGTTGTTTGACAAAAGTAGCTGTACAACTAGCTTAAATTTGTTAAATGACTAAAAAGTACATGCAATATTATTGATATAAAATTAGAATTATTAGGGGCAAAAACAAAAGAAAAAAATTGGCAGCTCAATCCTAAAGACAAACGCTATTTGAGGTAGCTTTCCAAAAGCTACTTGCAAAAGACACAATATCCAAAATAATCTCCTCCTATTTTTTGTCACCAAACAGCTCTACTAGCTTATTGACCAAATTAATAAGACACAATCTCTTAGATAAGACATAATCTCTTGTTGCCAAACAGTGCCTAAGTTTATAGGTATCTCAGTTAAGCTGCTTATAAGTTACTTTGATCACTTGCTAAATATAAATATGCTCTTATTCTGCCACAGGATACTCATAATTCTATTGTTACCTCAAATCCGGTCATAACCATTCCGCTAAATAACAGATCATTGTGATAATAGTGATCTCTCCGCGGATCAACAATAGATAGGATCGAAGTCCGAATTAAAAAAACTCCCCACAATTAAAATCTATGGAATAATTATTAAAATAAAATAATCTTTCGCTGGTGGGATATTTTAGTGGGATAAATAGGAACAATTTTGTGAAGCGAGATATTTTGATAAAATAACGTGGGATAAATTTTTATAATCATGAAATATATATTTATGCATTTTAAAGATATAAATACTATTTATGTATTTTAAATAACTTTTGGTTAGACTATAAAATATTAACAATTATTATTATAATGATGGTCTAATGATGATGATAACCATAATAATAGGAAAAAAAAGTAAAGAAATATAAAAAAATTAACAAAATAAACACGAATTCTAGTTTTTTATCACCTAATTCCAAGCTAAAACTTAAAATAATCTGAGAGACTACAATTCTCATTTTTTTATATAAAAATAAAAAAAGTAGGATAATTTTATATCATTATCCCAATTCTAGTTTTGTTAGAGTTCTACTTGACTAACACTGTAAAAATTTATTCTAATTTTAGTTCTACGTGACTAACACCTTAAAATTTTATTTCACATATTATCTCAGTTCCAATTATAAATTCCAGGGGACCAACCCTCCCGTACCTGCATGATAGGCCAAGTTGCCACCAGAGCTACTCCCCATAACGAAAAGCCTCGATAAATCGCCACGCTCCCCAATCCCGTCGAGACGCCACACTCCCCGACCCACTGCCCACAGCATCAACCCCGCTCCTCGTACGCCTCGGCAGGCCGATCTCCGGGCGCGAGCGTACGACGCCGAGACCAACTGATCGGCGTCCGCCGAGACCGACAGGCGCCGACACAAAAACTCGTCGTAAAGAGAGCGTCGGGGCCGAAGAGGAGGACTGAGCCGCCCGTGAGAAGAGTATGCACTGGCGGAGCTTTCGGTCCGGGGAGGAGCGGAGTGCGTTCGATGGGCCGGGAGTAGAGGCGTAGCGGGTGTCGGCGGCTGGTGGTTGGAAGGGGGAGTTGCGCATGAGGGAGCGCGGTGCTGCTGTCGGGTGGGGTGCAGAGAGGGGAAGAGGGCCTCGTGATGATCCGTCTGGGTTCTTGATTTGGAGGAAGTGCCTTGCGCCCCCTTGGTTTGCACCATATACTTCTCGTCCGGCGATATCGCCCAATATTTTTTTTTTTTTGAGGTTCTCTACTCTCTCTCCCTCTCCGGCTGGAGGCTGGGGAATGAAGTAGGTTCGTCATTTATAGTGTTTGGTTGATGTATATTTAATGAGGGGAGAGTAATTCATAGTACCTTGTTCCCCAGGGAATTGGTGGTTAAAAAAAATTTAAAAAAAAAGCGTTGAATAGGTATTTATTGATTACTACCTAGTTATTTTTGAGTGAAAAAATTCTTTAAGGACCCAAAATATGGGACCAATAAAGAAGACAAGTGAGTTGTCCCCCTCCTATTGGATAATGAGTTGGTTATCATTAATGATGGCCAACTCATTATCCAATAGAAGGGTGACACCTCATTTGTCCCATTTATTGGTCCCATATTTTGGGTCCCTGTAACAAAGCTCTTTTGAGTGAAACGGCGAGAAGCTAACCTCATGTTTCATTAAACAAAAGAATTTAAAAAAAGCAATCAAAAATACATAGATAACGTGGTGTTATAAGAAAATTCAAAAAAGAAAAAGAAAAAAAAAAGATAAAGAAAGCGACGTATGAAGCAACACTGACTACTAATCCCCGCTAAGCTGATGGTAACTCTCCTTAATTAATTATGTTGACCCTCACTATAATTTCTAAAATCCTGAAAGTGAAAGGAACTACTAACATCGTTTGATACGAATCCAAGCTCAAATCTTACCCACTATAAATCTAAAGGGGGAGTCGAAACAGAATGTTTGAGATGAAGTCTTGAACCATTAAATGGGAGACAGGTTAAAATTGTGTCCCCACCACTGATCGTACTTGTGTTAACCTATTTACAAAACTTTAACAAGTGTAAATAGGAGGCGCTACAGTCACATCCAACCACATTCATTTTTCGCTACAGTGTAATGAGTTTACATGAGAATTTTTTTAAAATTCTTATGTAGGCCCCATTATACTCTAGCCAGAAAAGAGTGTGATTAAAAGTGTGGTTAGAAGGGGGTGTACCTCTGGCATTTTCCGTTGTAAAGAGACTCTTGAGGGACCGGATGCCCGTTGGAATTGATACATCAAGCGTGGCTTTAAGATATTCCTAAAAAATAAAAGTCTTTTATATGAGAGGACCCGCGGGTTCGTTGACCGTAAATAGTGATGCTTGCAAGCTGTAGTTCTGTATTTTGTATAATGTTATGGATGTGTTACATGTGTATAGTATGACTATTTAATACGCATTTGTCACGTGGTTGTCTACATCATGCCTCTCCACCGTAGTATTTTTCCCCCCTTCCCCATAAGTCATCCCCTTAAAAATAATGTGTGAACCTAGATATTAGTTGCTTGTACTGTTGGATGAATTCTCATTGACCACACCTTTTATTATTACTAATTAATTAGCATACAATCCGGGCCGAATTCCTTGCCGCTTCAAACTCCAATTTTCAAATTAGATGTTTTATGCATGTAGCTTTTTAAATTATTAATTTTAGATCCAAAAAGATACCAAAATCAAGAGGAAATAAAGTCTACTAGCATTTTGCCAGATATCATGATCTGAAGAAAAAAAACCTTTGGTGCTCTATGAGCACTACACCACACTAAGAGCATCTCCAACAGCTTCCCCAAAAATTTCTCCAAAATGGGGAATCAAATGTCATATTCTCCAAATTATTTTTGCTCCAACTCCAACAACTTTCCCATTTTGAAGAATCATGCATTTATTACAATAATAAAAATATTCTACATCTTTGACTAATAAATAATAAATTATTTATTATTTTAAAGAATCCTCATTTTGACCAAATTATTTATTATTATAATAAGGAGATGGAGTTGTTTTTTGTGGGTTGAGTCTAGAAGAACGTGAAAAAATGCTTCCCCAAATATTTGCAGAATGCTGCAGATTTGGGGAAGACTCTCTATTTTTTCTCTCCTATCCCCATTTTGGGGAATGAGATGGGGAATCTGTTGGACAAAAAAAAAGCTCAAAATTCTCCAAATTTTAGAATACCAAGAAGATGGGGAAGCTGTTGGAGATGCTCTAATAGGAGAATGTCACTTAGCACAAACCGCTTGCAAATGTGGAGATAATAGGATTAAATAATTTTTTCGTACTACACGCCCTCCTCTTGGTGTGGTATAAGACTTATGGAGCACCTAGGAATTTTTCAATATGTAAACGAGCTTTAGTGGTGTTCTTGCAAGTTAATAACTCTATAGTTTGTGTAATTAATGCAAATTTAGTCTCGTTGCTTAACTGTATTCATTAATGTCACATACTTGTATACAGAGCTTTGCTACAGGGACCCAAAATATGGGACCAATAGAGGGGACAAGTGAGGTGTCCCCCTCCTATTGGATAATGAGTTGACCATCATTAATGATGACCAACTCATTATCCAATAGAAGGGGGACACTTCACTTGTCCCCCCTATTGGTCCCATATTTTGGGTCCTTAAAGAATTTTTCTTGTATACATCATGTTGCTGAACAATTCTATCCCTCTCTCTTCTTATTTCTCAATGAAATGGTCTAAGGGCCTATTTTCTCACAGTAAGGGGCTGTTTGGTTGTATGTTTTTACCATGTAAAAGGATGGAAAGTGTAAAAAAGTAGGTCCCAATGTCAGTTTTTATCACTTTTAATTGTTTGTTTGTAGTTGTAAAAATAGTGTAAAGTGATTTCATATGCTGATGTGGATTGTAAAGTGGTTTCATAAAAAAAAGACATGATTTTAGGAGAAAGTTGACATTGAAGTTAGGAAAAAAATAATAAAAAATAATTCCAACCAATATGATCATTTGAGTAGGGACCACTTTTTACACTTTCTAAACAAACAATAAAAGTTATATTTGCAAACCAAACAAGCAATTTATGATTCCAATTGAATCAAAAACAAATAAAGAAAAATATAAAAGTGAAATTGATGATGTGGACAACAACTTTCCAAGTTGTGTCATAAATACACAATTTTACCAACAACAACCAAACAGCCCCTAAGCAAGGAAACAAGTTGTTTACGTGGGATTTGGTCACACCCAGCAATTCATCCTATTGAAAAAATAAAAACACTGTTTTGAAACCTAGAAATATAGCAAAAGGAGAGAAGAAATAGTTGAAAAACGTCAATTGTCTTCGGGGGAAAAATCAAAAGTTTTCTCTAGTGCAATTGGGTGAGACATCAGAATTTAAAATACAAATCAAGGATGTGCCTCCCAATTAAAACATCTTGCAACTTAATTTTAATTAATCTCTTACAAAAATATAAAGAATAAAATCTTAGCACTTAATTAAGAACAATAATGGAACGTTTTTAAAAGAGAATACGAAACCCAAGTTGGCACCTCATTGTCTGAGTTCGTATCCTAATCTTCATCCTCTAAATTGTGGATTTCTTTAATCTACTCGTTAAGTGCTTATTTAATAGACCTAAAGCAAACAGTTGAAAATTGGGATTGGAAATCTCTAAACAGTTTAAATTTCCTAATGTTAATTATAGTCATTGATTAAAACTATAATAATTAACCTACCAAAAAATATGATAATTAAATAAGGTAAATTTCAGGGGAGTGGAAGCATTTTCCCACAATGTAATTGGAACTTATTGAGGAGTTTGCTATATTATATACTATTTAGTTTTAAAAAGGGCTAAATTTAATTTCATACCATGTAGAATAATTTGAAATTGTCTGAAAAAAATTGTTTTAAGGAGATTACGGTCAGATATATCACTTGGATTCTTAATGTTTAAAAATTATCACTAGGATCCCTAATATTACTTATGTCATCAACTTTTAGATCCTATCTGAAGAATTACGTTCAATCTTGTTGATATAGCGTGACGTGGCCCTACCCCTGGTTAGCAAAAAAAAAATATGAAATTCCAAGTTCAATACAAACTTATAATTTTGTTAACTTTTATTGTTTTAGAAGCGATATCGCAGGATAAACTTGGTCTTTTATTAGTTTTTTTACTGACATGATAGTGCCATATCATCGCCACATTAGCCAGATTTAACGAAAGTTGGTAAAGAGAACCTAGACCGATGAGTCCGCACCACTAATGACTTCCAAATATTAAGAGCACAAATAATGTTTGGCTGATTCTCCAAAGATTTCTATTGAATTTTTACCTTTCTTTTTTAAAATAAAAAAAATTCCCCCTATGGCAAAGCTATTTTTCTATAGCAAAGAAATTACAAAAAAATAAAGATGCCTATTTCTAGAAGGGAATTTCATGGCTGTTGTCTAAATGCAATGCTGACAAAGCTTGCTTATTAAGTTCATTATTTCCTTCCACAGTTCAAATTGAGGAGTTGCTTACGGAGGCTGATAACGACGATGATAATAGTTGTGCATTAACTCAGTAACTTTTCTCCACAACGGACGATAGTTTTCCTTGTACGTTATTTGAATGATGTTTGGTGATTTATTGTTATTATTATCTTCGGATTGCATATTCTAATATGTTGACTTCGCGATTACCGATACATGAAGTAATTACTTGTTTTCCCAAAACCGTTTCTTGAGGTAATTATTTGTAATTTGTAGCGCTAGCTAGAATATTTAAAGGCCTCCTGTTTATTAATGCACTTGCTCAGTAACAAGT